GGTCGCTATGAGTCAGTACCGACTCAATGGCACCTAACAACCACAATAACAACTTTCTAAATACCTTAAATTCAAGTTATTGACATAGTTTTAATATAAAACATAAACTATAATGCTTGTGTAATGTTCCTCCTACTCTCTTCTTGCTCATTACTCTTTAAACACTGGCTTCTTTTCCTTTCCTTCCACACATCAAGCATCTTCCTCACCCTTAGCCTTTCTACCCATAGTTTCTCTGTTCTGAATACCCTACAGATCTTTATGACTGGTTCCTACTTCCCATTCATGCCTTAGGCCTTAACTCCAAGACTAGCTCTTCAAAGAGGTTTTCTTTGACCACTCTTGGCCTGGCCACTATCCTTCATACCATTGTATTTTATTTTATTTTCAGACTTTAACAGTCCTTGCAATAATCTTCTTTTGATAGTCACTAGAATGTGAGCAGAGGACGTTGGCTATTTTGTTTCTTTCATTTATCTTTGGCCTGGGAAGTACCTGACCCATAGGAACTGCTCAGTAAATATTTGTTGAATGAATAATTGAAAAATATCAGAATTTTTGGGGAAGAGAATGGAAAAGTATTGCCTAAAAAAAAAAAATGTTTAAGTGAAGGAAAAATTAAAAAGGTAAGAAAAGTAAAATTAAAGACAGATGGGAAAACAGGATAAAGAAAGAAGGGAAGAAAAGGAGACAAAAGAAGAAAAGAGGGGAAAGGATAGGAAAAGAGGAAGGTAGTGTACTAACTGAGAAGTAATGATGTCTGTATGTCATTTGACTGAGTGAGTTTACTCCCTTTTTTCTAATATAACTTTCCACATCTTTGTATTCTGCCCCAATAATTCTTTGACCTCAAACATGGCTCATTGAATAGATGCAGTCAATAATAGCAAAACGGCCAATGAACCAATTCAAATAAGTTGATCACTGGCACATCTAAGAAAATAGTGATAAATGTAAATGTAGAAACTATTTCTCCATAATCTACTGCCTTCTTTGTCTAATAAACTCTTTCTTTAGAAAATGATATTCTATCTTCCCCAAACTTCACTGTGCAAGCTTTAGCAAAAATCCTAGCTGAGACAACATAGTCTCCAACTCCATTTTGTAGATAGACAGAGGCCGACTGAGGCAAAGGGACTTTGTCATGATTACAGATAGGAAAAAGAAAAGAAAGAAAGAAAGAAAAACACAGTTTGTTATAGATACACCATAAAGGTAACCTGGTTTCTGAATTTCTAAAAGCAATTCATCTCAGAATTTTCCTGGTTTTGTCACATATCAAAACTACTATGAATGTAGCTGCTAACCCCGTTAACATGAACTTTCCTTCACCCTCCAAGCACTGTGCATGTGACCAATTACCTACAATGCCATAAGGTAACTATTGCTTCTGGTCACTTGCCATCCAGGTGAAATGACAAATATGAGATGAATCAGAACCTAAAATATTTTCCCAAAATGAGTAATGACTTACAGAGGCTGGATTTAGGAACATTAATAAGTGGAGTATGTGACAACTAAGATGAAGCCACCTAGTTTATGGTAGTTTCCATATTCAAAGATCCAAATAGCCTCATTGTGTCCTGTTATTTTTGCCTGGAGTGAATTTTTTTCCCCATGAAAATATTAAAGAATGGCACAGTGACAACAGAGAAGTGATTTTAGATCATCAATGACAACTGGCTCTGACTTATTCCCAGACATGAATCATAAAATCCAACACAAATTTTTGTATTCCATTTTAATTTTTCTCTTTAAAAAAAAAAAACAAGATCAGAAAACAGTATAAAAATTACAGATCTGACTTTTGGCTTCTCTCCCTTTTCTATTTTTCTATGATACAACAGCCTCACTCACTCACTCACTCACTCACTCACTCACTCACTCACTCACTCATGGACTCATTCACTCACTCATTCACTGACTCACTCACTCATGGACTCATTCACTCACTCATTCACTGACTCACTAACTCACTGACTCATTCACTGACTCACTCACTTACTGACTCACTCACTCACTCACTGCCAAAAAGTTGCTTCTGACTCACAGGAACTCTATGTAGGGTTTCCAAGGCTGTAACTCTTTATAGGAGCAGATACCCTCATCTTGTTCCTGTGGAGGTACTCGAGGGTTTGAACTGCCCACCTGCGGTTAACAATCCAATGTTTATCTTAAAACACTACCAGGGTTCCTTACAACAACCCCAAAGGTAGTCATAAGAAAATCTATCCAAAGATCTATGTAATTACATTTATTATTAAAGCATACTCATGTCAAATATGGTTTGACTAAAGTGGAAAATGTTTCATGTGAAATTCGTGTCGTATAAAGAACTTTTAGTTCGGACCACAAGGTTGGTGGTTCAATTCCACCAGCTGCTCCTTGAAAACCCTACGTAGGGTCACTATGAATTGGATTTGACCTCATGTCACTTAACAAAGAACTTCTAAACTACTCATTTCATAAAGACCTTTCTTATCACTACTCTGGTCACGAGCTAGTTCTTTATAGAGAAGTACACTGCCTTTTCTTTGACTATGACACTCTGCCCCAAGAATTCTTTGGCCCCAAATGTGGCTCATTGAGTAGATATTGTCAACAATAGCCAAATGGTTGATGATCCATCTTCAAAGAACTTGATCAGTGACACATATGAGAAAACAGTTACAAATGTAAATGAAGAAGGGATTTCACTGCAATCTATTGCCTTCCTTGCATAATAAACAGAGTTCAGATTTGTTTACCTAGTTTGCAGTCTTCCAAGAGACTATTCAAAAGGCCAACTGGAGCCAATAAAAGGTTTTTGTCTACCACACACAGATTCTGTGCATATTTCTCTCTTGACACGAAGAAGCTGCTTTACTTGGGATTTTAAAGACAAGGAGAAAAATGCTAGCTCTGTGAGCATGGTTTTTGAATTTCAAAAAATTAAGTCTGATTAGAATGAAAGGAGGGGAGGCCAATGTGGCTTGTTTTGAATACTTAATTTTTACTCTAATATTTTATTTTATTGTTTTTGTTGTTGTTGCTAAGTGCCCTGAAGTTGGTTCTGACTCATGAACCCTCTATAGGGTTTCTGAGGCTTTAAATCTTCATGGGAGCCAAAAGCCTCATCTTTCTCCCATGGAGTGACTGGTGGGCTTGAACTGCAGACTTTGTGGTTCACAGTCCACATGTATGGAGCCACCATGCTCCCACATTTTATTTGTTGTTGTTGTTAAGTATCATTGAGTCAGTTCTGACTCATAGTAACACTGTATAGGGTTTCTGGGCATGCCCAATTCTCGGCATCTTAGACCTAATATCATCACAAAACTGACTATCAAATCATACAGAAGTTTCCTTTACACATAAATCATGCATCACTTACTTGATGGCTACTCTGTTTGATGTATCCTGGAGGTCACTTGGGTCAAAAAGTTGAGATTCTTTAAGGCCAAGCTCTTTACAACCTCTCAAGAATAAGATGATATTGTCCTGAAAGGAAGAACACAAAACCAAGTCTACATTATCTTAGGTTATCTCTATAAACCAAGCTCTCCCTTTTAATATTTGCTTCATAAAGATGACAGCCAAGAAAATCCTGAGGAGTAGCCATGAATCACAATTGATTTGATGGTACTGGGCTGGTTTTCTTTTGGGCAGGGGATAGGGGCCCTTTTTTTATTTTGCTTTTTAATAGTTCAAATTGCTGGAGGGATGCCAGTCATTAAGGCAGATACAGTTAGGTCTAAATCATAGTTTACTGCATAAAAGATTATATTTTAGTAGGAAATACCAGAGTGAACAGATATTTCATATTTCTATATTCAAAGCCATGTCAAATTCATTTTTTCCCTTCACCTTGACATGTATGTATAAAATCGCAAACTGAACGCTATTGAAAACCTAATTTAGCATTCTTTAATTTAACCAATGAAACCCAGACATTACCTATTATTTCAAACCTCGTTTGTCGTTGTTGTTAAGTGCTGTTGAGTCAGTTCCAGCCCATAGCGACCCTCCCTATAATGGGGTTTCTGTGGAGCAGCTGGGGAGCTTGAACAGCCGACTTTGCTGTTCAATTCGACTTTGGAGTCCAGTGCATTAACCCACAGCACCACACTCAAAGCTCTTTAGTCAAGTCTTATTGACTAGCATTGGGTTCAAAACTGCTACCAAGAAAGTAAATATTGTATCTCAATAAAAAGTTTCATTTTTGCCAAGTATTTCTTTAACTGGTCTTCTAGAATACATCTTTTATTAGCAGGTTTAATTACGAATATGTCTTTAAGAAATATGAATTGAACTTAATGCAGAAAACAAACCTAGACTTAATTGAGAAGGGAAGAAGCACATGGGATGATTACTTCACACGGCTCTTCTACCCATAGTCCTTCAGTAACCATGGTAGTGTAGTGAGTTACCAGTTGGGCTGCTAACCATAAAGTCAGCAGTTCAAATCTACCAGCCACTCAGTCCATCAGAGAAAGATGAGGCTTTCTTCATTCCGTAAAGATTTACAGCATCGGAAACCTTACACTAGGTCTCTATGAGTCAGAACCAACTCAACAGCACACAATCACCATTACTACCATCCACAGTCCTTGTAACTCCCACCAAACAATTTCTTCTTGATGAGTCCAGGTAAGAAAACAGGGTGATATAATTCAGTTGTGAGTGGTTAATGTAATTAATCATTGACTACGAAAACTTGGAACTCTAATATGGGTTTGAAATGAGCTCTCTTAGAAGTAAGAGGGGGAGTCTCACTACCATCAAAAAAGAAGAGCCAAAAGTAAAGCTCCTTCTTTGGGCCCTGAGTTCTCTGTGCTTTGAACCTCACTGACCCAGGGACAGAAAGCGTTGACATGGAGGAGAGGCAGTGGAGCTGAAGCAAGAGTTGAAGCAGGAGACAGAGGTGTGCTTCCCAGCCACGGAGCAAGTAAAACTGAGTGACTTTGGGCGGTACACATGCTTGTAGAGTTGAGTGATCCAGGTGGGGAGACACTTTTGCTGACCCACAGAGCTAGAGCTGAGTGCCTTCCAAGTAGACGCTACCGGTGGGGTGGAGTGCCCTTTAAGCATTTACCAGCAGCACAAGAAGTGCTTTGTAACAGTGCTGAAGTAAGGCAGGGGCTAAGCCAAGAGACAGAGAAGAGCAACTTGTCTGTGGGCAGGGCAGAGGAGAGGCTTTTATGCCTATAAGTACGAGGTCATGAACATTTCTGACCCTGAACTGTAACCTGTTAACTTCCCTAATAAGCCCTGTAACTGTGAGTAAGGGGTTTGAGTTCTGTGTGGTCATTATAATGAGTTATTGAACTCAGATGAGAAGTAGAGAGAGCTGTGGGAGAGATGGTTGGTGCCACAATTTTGGCAGAATGTTTTGGAATGTTATGCAAAAGACCCTCTTCGAAGTGAACATTTCTTTAACAGGTAAAACTTGACTGTGAGCTGGCAGAGACACTTGGCAGTTACGGCTAGTTGTGGTCTTCATCTCTTCTGAGTTGTTATGAATGGCTTTAGGAGGTTTTTACAAACTTTTGGAAATCCAGGACTGGGCAATGCACAAAACCGGGCAATGTTTTATTCTATTATACAGCGGTAAGGTCACATTTAGTTGGAGCCAATTCAAAGGTAAGTAATGACAAAAACAATGTATTACTATTAGCATATTAGTGAGTATATGGTGACATAAAAATTACTTCACTCAGGTTTTAATGAAACCTGGGATAATATGGACCTATATAAGAGCCAATCCACAGCTCACTAAAGTTTGTTGGGTTTTTTTCCTTAAAAAAAAAAAAACAAAGAAAAGTACTTCTCAAACTTTGCTATTCTTAAAGTAGATTGAAGAGGAGTGAAGGATTTTGATATCTGAAGAGAATTTGGGTACATTATACAAAGTGTGCTAAACGACAAACTAAATATTTATTGTTGTTGTTAAGTATCGTTGAGTTGGTTCCGACCCATAGCAACCCTGTACAGGGTTTCCAAGGCTGTAAATCTTTACAGGAGCAGAAAGCTTCATCTTTCTCCCACGGAGTGGCTGGTAGTCTCAAACTACTGACCTTAAGGTTTGCAGCCTGATTCGTAACCACTACACTACCAGGTAACATCTATTGAGCATTTACTGTGTGCTGGTCTGTTTCAAGAAAGTACATGTATCATTTCTTATTCTGAAAACAATCACACAAAACTGGCAGAGTTATTGTCTCCATTTCACAGATGAACTGTTGAGGCATAGAGAAGCTATGCCTTATACTTAGTCCTACAGCTCCCGTAAAGATTTACAGCCTCGGAAACCCTGAACAGGGTCGCTATGAGTCAGTTCTGACTCCACAGCACATAACCACCACTACCACAGCTACTAAATCGGACTCCCAATTAATTCGATACAGAAAAAGGAAAAAAAGTTTTCTACATGTGAAAAATCTAAGTCTGAAAAGTGGCATTTTTTTCTCTCCATTGCTCCATAGTTCTAGGTGCTTTTAAAGTCTGACTTCCTGAGATTTCTATTTAATTGTAAAAAAACAACAACTTTTCTCTTTCTCTGGTTTTCTTCTCTTCCTTTCCTTCCTTTCCCCTTCTCCCACACTCTCTGGCTACAGGGTTTTCACACTCAAAGGCATCACTGTTCATAATCTAGAAGATAATTATCTTAAATAAGGAGTGCACCCCTCACTTACAGTAAATAAAGCCCTCCACTGTTTAAAAAAGTGAACCCAAACCAAAGATAGTAACTGGTGCAGGTTACATGAGTACCTTTCTGTGTGCCCCAAGGGCTTCTTGCCCAGAGGAAAGGAAAGGATGGGCCTTGGTACTCTCTAGGAATCCACCGGAACCACAATGAAGAAGCCGACCTGTGGCCACCATGTAGTTCCATAAGACATGCACAACTGTGGTGCCCTAGCTTCATGAAGAAGGCCAGGAGGTTCTCCTTCTATATACATTCCTGACACGTGCACACATCCGTGAATGTCACACTCTATTCAGAACACGAACCGCAAACACACAACCATTGTGCTGCTAGCCAGCCTGAACAGTCCAGGCTGGAAGATTTAAGTGACTGCAGGTCTCCTTCCAGCTTCTTGCTGCAACCTAATGAGGCTGGAGGGGAGCCAGCCCCCAGCCAGGAGGAAAGCCAGAAGGAAGAACCACCAAGCCAAGAGCTAATGAGGGCAGCGACCAAAGTAAGCAGTAAGAACTGTGCCTTTAATTACATAAACTGCATCCTGTAAATGCTCATCTGCCATACTCTTCAATCTGAGGTTTTTCCACATTTATAATTCCAAGCAAAACCCACACCTTAGTGTTTCAACTTCAGAAGCTAAGCAGCACAACAGTGGCTCAGTCCAAGGGAGAAGAAATAGAAGATGCTGGTCATACTACAATGACTATTATATTTGGCTCTCAAATAGGAATACAAACCCATTAAGACTTAGTAATCATTTTTAAGTGTTTTTAAAAGAAATCTCTAAAAAGAGACATGACAACTAAGTGTAATTTATGAAATGTCTGAACTCTGATTAGGTTCAGTCTCCAAAAAGGATACAAAAGAAATTGCAAGTCAAATTTAAACAGACTAGCCCACTAGCTGTGCCTTGGAAATCCTATGCAGGGTGGCAATTGGTCAGAACCAATTCGACGGCACTTAACAACAACAGTAATACTGGATGATATTATTGACAGTTAAGTTTCACAGGCATTCTAATGACATTGACATTACATAAGAGAATGTCTTTATTTTCAAGACTAGAGATGAATTGTGTAGGGTGAGTTATAATGCCTGCAACTTATTTTCAAATGGCTAGGAGGAAAAACATGTGTGGGCATGCATGTTGGTGTAGACATTTGCCTGTCTTTGGGAAGAGAAAGAGTAAGTGATAATGCAAGTATGAACAACAATAACAACAATTAGTGACTCTAGACCATGAGTGGGCAAAGTTCTTCTATGAAGAGCTAAATGATATGTATTTTAGACTTTGTGTACCATACAGTGGTTTCTGTTGAAATGACTCAATTCTACCAGCGTAGCCAGATAAGTATCCTTTATTTACAAAGGCAGGCATTGAGTGGGCTTTGGACCCTTGCTCTAGGTGAAGGAGTGAGTTATTCACTCTAACTCTTTTCATTTTTCTGCACATTTGAAAAATGTCCCCAAAAAAAGTTGGGGGGAAAGGTTTTTAAATTTTTAAGACTGTATGCAATTACATCAATGGTGACTGCCCTGGAAAAAAACAATTTCACCAAATAAAAAGGCATCTGGAACCATGGAGAAATGGAGAAAAAGAAAAAAAGCAGAAACACAGTTACTTCAGAGACAGTCATTGCAAAATCATTGAGGTAAATGTTCAAAAGTTCTTGCTGGAAAGTTACCGTTTCTGGCTCACTGGAAAGTACTGTAACATGAGTCTTAATTCAACACAGAGGCATAACATGAAGTTCCTAAAAGAGTCTATTTTGTGCTAGGTTAATATTAATATAAGGATTTA